ATGTGGAACTGCTCAAGCTATCCGGTTTTTGTTTCCATGACGATGCTAGGACTTCTGCATTTATATGCTTGCTTAACAAATGCCCAAAGCTATGCAATCTTGAAATAAGTTTCACACCTGAGGTAAATCCTCTTGAAATTCTTTTTGCTTCCATGTTTTCTGCGTCCCTTCATGCAATTTTGGTCTGAACTACCAAACTCTTATTTTCCCTTCTCGTGTTGTGTCTTCATGTAGTGGGGAGAGGATATCAACAAGTGTGTAGATGCTGAATCGAAGCGTTTGAAAAATCTTCGTAGAGTGCTACAAACACACAAAATGCTTCTAATTTTGCAGCTTAGCTCGTTCTCTGGACTGAGGCCCCAAATGCATTTCATTCAAGAGATGCTTGCCTGTCTTCCCGCACTTGAAAAGGTTATCATCAGTCGTTCTTATGGGTTTGATTGGAGCAAGAAACATGAAACTTTGGAAGAAATATCGCATTTTCCACGTGCATCTGCGAAAGCTAAACTCGTCTTCCCAAGTTGAATCTACCTCTACTAATTCACTTTTGTTGGTGTGGTTGTAGTACTTACAGATATGCGAAATGGTATGAATGGTAAATTTTTGCAAGTATGCCAATTTTGTATGAATGACTTTGACATGGGCAATGGATGGGTTTTAAGACAAATGCAACGGAAACCTGCTTTTAAGTGATTTGATAATACAACAACAACAACAACTCAGTTGGATCCCACTACAGTAGGGTCTGGGGAGGGTGTGTGTATGCAGACCTTGCCCCTACTCGGAAGCAGGGAGGCTGTTTCCAAGAGACCCCCGGCTCAACCTGCACAAAAAATGATAGGGTACACAGTATAGCATGGGTAAAACACCAAGTACAATGAAAAGAAAGTTCTACAAACATTAATAGAAGATTCCAATCAAACACAACACACTACAAAAAACCTCTGTAGCACCGAGTTCCTAACCAGCTACTCTAATCCTAGAGTGATTTGATAATAAGGGGTAAATATTGTCATTTGAGCTTATTCTCAATCGGTTAGTGCGTGTCTAGCTTAGATGACAATGAAAGACTGTAAAAGGGTTTGATAGAATTTAGAATTGGTGTAGGGTTAACTGGATTGAACAATAAGACACTTGAGTTGAACCACAATAAGAAACTTTTAATTTTAAAGTCTTTTTAACACTAATAACTCTATTAGAACATGCATAGTACTACCTATTCGTACTTTAAAAAGATATTGTAAAACCTAAGTGATTCCCCAAATGAGACTATACCTAAACCCAAATAATAAAAAATTACATTGTGTTCCATGACATTGGGAATAAAAAATTACATTGTGTTCCAACTTCCAAACTTAAATTCTACGAGTGAAAATGAAATCACATGTAACTTATAACAATGAAACAAGTCCTATAGACTTCCGGTGTGCCTGCAAACAAAATAAAAATTAAAAACAAAGAATTAAATTTAAAATTTACAATTTAAAATTTACAATTTAAATTTTTAAATTTAAAATTTGTAAAATATTTTGACAAGTATTTGAAAAACTAATCTTTGATATTTATTTTGTTATCAATTCAAGTAGTTACACTTTGTAACCTTTTGTTATTCTCTTTTTGTTCTAAAATTTTATTTCCATGTCAATTTACTAGGTTTGACTAACATATAATCTATTAAATTTATTTGATTATAAGTGCAAGATTTAAAAATAAAATTATATATTTCAAAACTATATAAAAGATTTTACAAAACAAGAGGAGACATGACTATATTATTTAATAAGTAAATTTCATAAATGATTCGTAATTATAATTTCCCATGTTTAGTCTACAATTTAAAAATATTATATAAATGAACATCAATTTATGTAAAGTATTAATAAATATTCTTTTAGGTCAAAATATGACAAAATATTTACTTTACATATACTCTCTCCAGGATCGATTATGAACCAATTTTAAAAATTGAGGATCATTTATGTAAATATTTTAAATTGGGGACTAAATATTAAAAATTAGTTGTAGTTAGGGACTATTTCTAGAATTTAATCTTAATTTATCAAATGACCAACAAAAACATGAAAAGAAAGTGATAAAAATTTCTGAAAAAATAAAAGGAAAATGATTTCTGGAAAGTTATTAAAATTTGATAATGTGAAAAGAAAATTAGTAATGAGTGATTGAATATTAAAAATTAGTTGTAATTAGTACTATTTAGGTAAATCCATCTTTTCTTTAAGAAAAAAAAAGATAAAACTATGTTTAAAACATATAAAATGTATCTAAATATGAATTTCATCTTTTTATCTTAAAAATAGGAGTTACGGTGTTGGTAATGTCAATATGTAATACTTCCTCCGTCGCAGAGTATTTGTCCACTTTCATTTTTACACACCATGCAATGCACTTCTTTAATCCATTTTATCTTGTAATTTGTATATTAAAAAATTATAGAAATTATATATTAATAATCTATATGTTAAGACAAATCAAACAATATCACACATGACTATATTTAGGCTTACACATTGAGAGAATTTGATGAGTCAAAGTGCTTAGATGAACAGTTCTAAAAGTCAAAAGTGGACCAAAACTGGGGGACGGAAGGAGTATCAAAAAGATATTGTGAATTGTCAATATACAGTGAGACATTGCTACAGTTTAAATTTCTATTTAAAAAGCAAAAAACTTCTATTTTAGTATTTTCTTTATACTTTATTCTTATTTAAGGTGATTTTGTTTTTCTTTAAAATTTATGGACGCGTTTTTATTACTACGTATTATTTTTAAGGATATATTTTTACTGTTTTTATGGATGTCTCCTTACTTTCACATTCATGAGTTTATGAATGTTAAGATTTATAAATACACTTAGAATGTTATTTAGTCATTTTTTGGACATTCATTTTCAGATATCCATTTTTCGTAAAATAAATAAAATAGAAATAGACTTTATTCAGATTTCTAACCAAGCAACAGAAAAAGAAAATGATTTCTGAAAAATAACTTATTTTCCACAAATCACTCTCCTAATTCAAGTGGAGCCTTAGAACATCTAGAAAAGCGCCCCTAAATTATCTACATGATACCTTATAAATTAAATATGTCTCTAAGTAGTTTTTCCTAAAAATTGTTACTTAAACAGTGATTAATTAAATTTTCAAAATAATCATTTCTATACAATTTCATGTAAATTAAAGCAATCATTGACTATATATATTTCATACTCCGTAAATTATTTAAAACATGTGAAAATGTTTTAAAATTTGAATCAAATTTATCTTTAACTAGAAAAAATCATTTTGGAAAAACACTTCATTATAATTGATATACTTGAGGGTTTATTTTAAATTTAGATGATAAAAAATACCAAAAGATCTTTCAATCATAGCCGAAAAATTAAGTGTCTAGCTAACCTACCAGGACAGTGCAATTGGTCAAATCAAGAATGCAAATAGATCTCAACCCCAAAGCTCAATTTGCTACTAGAAAATTGATTGTCATTTCTCACATGGGTACACCAAAATTGGTACCTCATTCGTTAAACACAGACAAACACAAACACTTAGGGGGTGTTTGTTTTTTCTGCAAGAAAAGGTCTGCAATCTGCGGACCACTACTGTAGACATCTGCAGGAGAAGTGGTGGACCGAAGGTTTGCGGTCTGCAACATGAAGATTGTTTGTTTTTTAATGTCTGTAGACTGCTATATAAATTAATGGTGGTAGTGTACGGTGGTGGTGTATGGACGATTGTGGTGGTGGTGGAGGGTGGTTGTGAAGGGTGGTGGTGGACGTTGACGGCGGTGGTGGTGGACGATGGTGGTGGTGGATGGTGGCGGTGGTGGTGGACGAC